AGCTTAGCATGATGACGGGCGCCTGTAGTCCCAGCTACTACTTGGAAGGCTGAGGCAGGAGAATTGCTTGAACCCGAGAGGCAGAGGTTGCAGTGGGCCGAGATCACGCCACTGCACTCCAGCCTGGGCCCCACAGGAATGAGACTCTGTTTCAAAAAAAAAAAAATCCCTTAAAGACTTTATATCCTCCTTTAGGTGTCACCCCAAATCTTTGCTCCTCTTCACTCGAAAGTTCTTTTTTTTGACATAGGGTCTCTGTTGCCTGGCAGGAGCGCAGAAGAGTGATCATGGCTCACTATAACCTTGACCTCCTGGGCTCAAGTGATCCTCCCCTCTCAGCCTCTCAAGTAGCCGAGACTATTATGTGCATGCCATCATGCCTGGCTAATCAAAAATTTTTTTTTGTAGAAACTGGGTCTCACTATGTTGCCCAGGCTACTATCGAACTCCTGGCCTCAAGCATTCCTCCCGCCTCATCCTCTCAAAGTATTGGGATTACAGGCGTAAGCCACTGCACATGGCCCAATAGCAAAATTTCTTGATAAGAGTTATCACCATATTCTACTTTCATTTCTTTACCTCCCATGCTCACCCCAATCTGGAACTTAACATTTTATCATGCCATTAAAATCACTTTTATCAGAGTCACCATTAACCTCCACGTAGCCAATTAAGAAGTCTTCTTGAACTTGTTTATTTATTTATTTATTTATTTGCTGTCTTCTATGAGAAATAATTTGGTTCAAAGAAGTCTTCTTGAACTTAACTTCTGGCCTTATCTGATTTAGTTTACTGAAATGTTGCTTTGTTTAAAAATTCAATTTATTTAAATTTTGAACCAGTAATTCAAAGTTACATGCTCAATTTATATGCTCAAAAAGTATAAAAACAAATAGAAAAGTCTCCTATACTATCCACTGAGTTTCTGAGAGGTAATTATTATTGTTAGTTTCCTTTTTATTGTTCTAGGAATTCTTTTGCATATGTAAAGCAAATATAATTATATATTCTTATTCTCTCTCTACTTTTACACAAACGGTATTTCACTTAACACATCTTGCAGATTTTTCTATATCATTACATTGTGTCCTCATCCTTTTTGATAATGGCTTTGTCAAGATATGATTCACATGATGTTGGGTTCACACAGAATGTACCAGCTATATCATATGGTAAGTATACAATTCAGCCAGGCACGGTGGCTCATGCCTGTAATCCCAACACTTTGGGAGGCTGAGGTGGGAAGATCCCTTGAGCCTAGGAATTTGACACCAGCTTGGGTAACATGGTGAAACCCTGTCTCTACAAAAATTAGCTAGGTGTGGTGGTGCACACCTGTAGTCCCAGCTACTTGGGAGGCTTAGGTGAGAGTTGCTTCAGCCCAGGATGTCACTGCTGAAGTGAGCCATAATTGCAGCACTGCGATCCAGCCTGAATGACAAAGTGAGACTCTGTCTCAAAAAAAAAAAAAAAAAAAAAAAAGGGAGAGTACATAATTCAGTTGTTTTTTGCATATTCACAGAATTGTGCATCTATCACCACTAATTTCTGAACATTTTCATCACCCCAAAAAGATATCCCATTCCGCGCACAGCCAATGTATCATTTCTTACATGTGCTAGCAGCAGTACTTCCCAAACTTTAATGTGCACATGAGTCAACATAAAATACTATTAGTCCAGGGCCAGGTGCAGTGGCTCACGCCTGTAATACCAGCACTTTGGGAGGCTAGGGTGAGCAGATCACCTGAGGTCACAAGTTCAAGACCAGCCTGGCCAACATGGTAAAACCCCATCTCTACTAAAAATACAAAAATTAGCCGGATGTGGTGGTGCATGCCTGTGTAATCTCAACTACTGGGGAGGCTGAAGCAGAACAGCTTGAACCCGAGAAGCGGAGGTTGTAGTGAATCAACATCACACCACTACACTCCAGCCTGAGTAAAAGAGCAAGACTCTGTTTAAAAAAAAAAAAAAAAATTCCATTAGTCCTTTCTTCTATTACAATAATTAAGCAAAAAACCTCAAAAAGCAGCTTAATTATTAATTATATATTTCAATTCTCAAATATATATTCAGTTTAAATAACCTTTATTAATTATTTTTACTTTCATATTTATTATTATTTTATTAAAATAAAAGACAATAAGCCAGGCACGGTGGCTCATGCCTGTAATCCCAGCACTTTGGGAGGCCAAGGCAGGTGGATCACAAGGTCAGGAGTTCAAGACCAGCCTGGCCAAGATGGTGAAACCTGTCTCTACCGAAAATGCAAAAAATTACCTGGGCGTGGTGGTGGATGCCTGTAATCCCAGCTACTGGGGAAGCTGAGGCAGAGAATTTCTTGAACCTGGAAGGCAGAGGTTGCAGTGAGCAGAGATCACATCACTGCACTCCAGCCTGGGTGACAGAGCAAGACTTCATCTCAAAAAAAAAAAATAATAAATAAAATAATAATAATAATAATAACAATAATAAAAGATGAAAAGCCATGTTTAACCAGAATTCCACTCTCTGTGTGGCTGAAATGATGGTAAGGTCACCTTAATTATTTCTATTTTGTTAAACATGCTTCAAGTAAAGCAAGTGACTGAAAACTTCAGAGTGAATATGAACAAATTCCTAATTTAGTGACTGTGGAAAGCAAGTAATTGGACTAAGATAAAAGACAAATACAGTTAAAGAGCCTCAGAAAAAGAATTTCAAAGTACTTTTAAAAAAGAGTCAACTTTAGACTTCTTTTAATAACCCACCTTAGTTGCTGGGGATTTTCATGGATACCAACCACCCAGTAGTGATCAGATTTTCCTTTGCAGTGCTCTCTTGTATTACATATAGGAGTCCATGTATTACCAAGTCCTCTGTTAAGCATTCGAACGATTCCTTCTGAATCCACGTAACAAGGGGTACCTAAACCACAACAGAAAAAGAAATCATTTGGAAACATAGCTAAAGAAACCCTATTTCAAATATATTATACACACCAAGGATTCAACTTTCCTTTCAAAAGTAAACACAAAACAGAAGCACATAATCTAAGATTAAAAATACTGTAAAATTTACTTAACCATAAGAGTACTGGATTTGATATGACTAAAATTTACACAAATAAAATGAAAAAACTGAGCTTCAGTGAAAACTGTGCCACCTGCTGGAAGATAACAACAATAATTTTAAAGCCAATTTTAGTGAAAAATTAGACATGAATCAGAAGGCTACTGGTTGAGAAACATTTAGAAAAATGACCAAAACCTGATACAAGGTAATCTTTATGAAATTTATCTTTGGTTTTCTTCTTCCTCTCTCTTCTCTTTGTTGGCCTCATCACTGTTCTGTCCCCAATTGCTAGTTAAGCAATTCTTACCTAGGAAAAAGGGAAGGATTCTTGTTCTCCACCTATTCTGCTTCCAGCTCAGGAAATCTGTGACAAATTATCTGATTATCCCTTTTCTTATCTGTAGCTTCTTCACACCCCCTTACTCTGCAAACATCAGTTTCCTGAGGGTCTGTATCTAATTGGTACTTGGGAGAAAAAAGGCTATACAAATGGAAGTTATCAATGGTTCATATTATTAAAGCCTGAATGACTAATATCCCAACAGAAAACACATCTAGAAATGATTGATATTTTAAAGAAAAAGTGAAGTTTCCAGCAATGTAAATGAAGAACCTGAATCTCCAAAAAGAGAACTATTTAAGTCCACATGAGACAGGGTTGACAGGTGATTTAAAATAAGGTACACGCGGGTCAGGTGCACAGGCTCACACCTGTAATCCCAGCACTCTGGGAGTCCGAGGCGGGTGGATCACCTGAGGTCAAGAATTTGAGACCAGCCTGGCCAACATGGCGAAACCCTGTCTCTACTAAAAATACAAAAAGTAGCTAGGCGCGGTGGCGTGTGCCTGTAGTCCCAGCTACTCAAAAGGCTGAGGCACGATAATCACTTGAACCCAGAAAGCAGAGGTTGTAGTGATCTGAGATTCTGTCACTGCAATCCAGCCTGGGTGACAGAGTGAAGACTCTGTCTCAAAAAAAACCACAAACACGAAAACAAATGAAATAGGGTACTCCTCAGTGTCTTTCAAACTATCTGTCATAAGCCTCTAGAATTTGGTCTAAAATAGTACTTACCCAATAGAAATATCAGGTGAGCCACAAGTGTAAGTTTTAATTTCTTAGTGCCAGCTACTCAGAAGGCTGAGTATCTGTTGCTCAGATAGTATCTGTGCAGTCACAACAACAATAGTTTAGGCTGGATGTGGTGGCTCACCCTGAAATCCCAGCATTTTGGAAGGTCAAGGCAGGCGGATCACCTGAGGTCATGAGTTCAAGAACAGCCTGGCCAGCATAGTGAGACCCCATCTCTATTAAAAATACAAAAATTGGCCAGGTGTGGTGGCTCATGCCTATAATCCCAGCAGTTTGGGAGGCCAATGTGGGCGGATCACGCGGTCAGGAGATCAAGACCATCCTGGCCAACATGGTGAAACCCTGTCTCTACTAAAAACAAAAAAATTAGCCAGGCATGGTTGTGTGTGCCTGTAGTCCTAGCTACTCAGGAGGCTGAGGCAGGAGAATCGCTTGAACCCAGGAGGCGGAGGTTACAGTGAGCCGAGATTGTCCCACTGAATTTGTCTCAAAAAACAACAACAACAACATTAGCCAGATGTGGTGGTACAAGCCTGTAATCCCAGCTTCTCAGGAGGCTGAGGCAGGAGAACTACTTGAACCTGGAGGCAGAGGTTGCAGTAAGCTGAGATTGCATCATTGCACTCCAGCCTGGGTGACAGAGCAAGACTCTGAATTTATTCCTAATATAAAGAATAATAATAATTTAGAGATGGTGTCTCCCTATGTAGCCCAGCCTGGTCTTGAACTCCTGGGCTCAAGTGATCCTCCTGCCTCAGCCTCCCAGAATGCTGGGATTATAGGCATGAGCTACCATGCCTAGCCAAAAAAATATATATTTAAAGAAAAAAAGGATGAAGTTAATGTTAATAATACATTTTATTTCATCAAATATATCCCAAATATTATCATTTAACATGTAATCAATGTAAAAAAAAAGTACTGAAATCTTTATATTCTTTTTTCATGCTAAGTCTTCAAAATCTAGAGTATTTTATACATGCAAGTACATCTCAGTTAGCCATATTTCAAGTGTTCAATAGCCACACATAGCTACTAGTTATTGTAGTAAACAGTGAAGTTCTAGAAAATTCTAAGTTTTGTGTATAATGTGCAAGAAAAGACAGAATTAATCATTGATTTGTATCACCTCCTTGCTATCTAATAAACTTTCAGAAAAATGTATTTCCCTCTTTATCTATCTTTTTTCAAACTAGTATTGCTCTGTGGCCCAGGCTAGACTGCAGTGTGATATGCTCTCCGCTCACTGCAACCTCTGCCTCCCGGTTTAAAGCGATTCTCCTGCCTCAGCCTCCCAAGTAGCTGGGACTACAGGTGACTGCCACCGCGCCTGGCTAATTTTTGTATTTTTAGTAGAGACAGGGTTTCAACATCTTGTCCAGGCTGGTCTCAAAATCCTGACCTTGTGATCTACCTGCCTCTGCCTCCCAAAGTGCTGGGATTACAGGCATGGGCCACCGTGCCCAGCCTTATTTCCCTCTTTATACATTTTCTAATGAGAATTCTCATGAGAAGAGATCTCAGCCAGGTGCAGCAGCTCACATCTGTAATTCCAACACTTTGGGAGGCTGAAATGGGTAGACCACTTGAGCCTAGGAATTTGAGACCAGCCTGGGCAACATGGCAAAACCCTGTCTCTACAAAAAATACAAAAATTAGCTGGCTGTGGTGGCACACGCCTGTAGTCCCAGCTACTCAGAAGGCTGAGGTGGGAGGATGGCTTGAGCCCAGGAGGTGGAGGTTGCAATGAGCCAAGATCATACCACTGCACTCCAGCCTGGACAACAGAGCCAGACCCTGTCTCAAAAGAACATAAAAATAAAAAAAGAGATCTTGTATATGAAACAATGGCTACCTTGCCTAAAGATTGCAGTTCCCAGTTCTGCCAACATATTAAAATAGAAATTTAAAATATAAAATAAAAATAATTTATCTTTAAAGAAATTAGGAATAAAACAATAAAACAATTTTCTTTTTGAAAAATGTCTTAATGCTTTATATTTGTTTATTTTTAACAAATTTATCTTGCCTTCAGCGGAAAACCCAATCCATGTAAGGTAGGATTTCCTTGAAAGAGGAAGAGGGTCACCATGTAAAATTTGTTTTTTCTTTTTCCCCAGCTCTAGTAGTTGAACTCCAAGGCACTGATCCCCATCAAATCCTGTACCTAATGAGAAAATGTAAATATAAATTAGGCATCAAAGGTTACACAGAGTAATATGTTACATAGATTATTCACATAAAGTCCTTATAAATGGGCATTTATTCACTCAAGAAATATTTACAGAGACCTTACTACACACCAGCACTGGCCTAGATACTGGGGCCACAACAATAAACAAAGTCATTGCTCTCATTAAATTCAAATTTCAGGTAGAAGACAGATTAAAAAATACAAAAAGAACAAAAAAAGTTATCGAAAAGCTAAAATAATGTTATACAGAAGTGGCCTCTCAGAAAGTAAAGTTTAAGCTGAGACATGAGCTGCAAGCTGGAGCCTGCCTCCACATTAGGGGAAGGAACACAATAGTGGATGGAGGGAACAGCTAATGCAAAGTCCCAAGACAGGAAGAACAGGGGGCTCGAAGAACGCCAAGGGATAGTATGGCCAGAACATGATAATGAGAAACAATGGTAAGAGATGAGGTTAAAGAGGCAGGCAAAGGTCAGATTATGCAGGATTAGGAGATCACCTTGACAGCTATTAGAAGTTTGATTTTTATTCGAAAAGTGAAGTAAAGTCAGAGAGATGAGAAGAGGGGCATGATCTATGTTTTGTTTTGTTTTTCTGAGACGAAGTCTTGCTCTGTGGCCTAGGCTAGAGTGCAGTGATGCAATCTCAGCTCACTGCCACCTCCACTTGCCAGGTTCATGCGATTCTCTTGCCTCAGCCTCCTGAGTAACTGGGACTACAGGTGCATGCCACCAGGCCTGGTTTTTTTTTTTTTGGTTTTAGTAGAGACGGGTTTTCACCATGTTAGCCAGGATGGTCTTGATCTCCTGACCTTGTGATCCGCCCACTTCGACCTCCCAAAGTGTTGGGATTATAGGGGTGAGCCACTGCACCTGGCTGATCTATGTTTTTAAAAGATCATCTAGACTGCTGTGTGGAGGATGGACCTTAAAAGGCAAGAACTGAAGCTAAAAGACTATTTAGGAGGCTACTATGACAGTCCAAGAGATGACGTCTAGGTTGTACGGGATATTAGCAGAATAAATGAAGAGAGACAAATTTAGAATGTGTTATTCCATAGAATTGACATGATGATATAATTTTACTGTTGGAATTGATTCAGGGGAAAGGGAAAGAGAAGAATCAAGGATAATTTTTAGATTTTTGGCTTCAGCCACTAGATTGCTAGTAGGCCATTTACTAAGATGGAGAAACTATGTAAGAAGCAAGTTTGGAAGGAAAAAAATCAAGTTTTTATTGTGAGCAAATTAAGTCTGAAATGTCTGTCCAAACTCTAAATAGATTTTGAGTAGGCAACTGGATATGGAAGTCTGGAGACACAAGGAGAGGGTAGGCTTGAAAGTCATAGACACTGAAATGTACTTAAAACCATGGATTTTGATAAAATTCCCAGAGTGGTTTCTCAAACTGCATATTTTGACCTATGAGTCATGGAATCAATCTCAAGTTGCAACTAGCATTTTAAAAAATTAAATAAAAAAAATTTAAAACTGAAATCAAATAGTAAATATTGTCCATGGGACTTTTTTGATACATTTGCAGATATTTACAGAACAGTAATACAGAATATATTTATTTTCTTCTTTTTTCTTTTTTAAATAGAAACAGGCGCTTGCTATTGTCATCCAGCCTGGTCTTGAACTCCTGGGCTCAAGCAACCCTCCCGCCTCAACCCCACAAAGTGCTGGGATTATAGATGTGAGCCACCATGCCTGGTCCAGAATCTATTTTTTTTTTTCCGAAATGAAGTCTCGCTCTGTCACCCAGGCTGCAGTGCAGTGGTGCAATCTTGGCTTACTGCAACCTCCACCTCCTAGGTTCAAGCGCTTCTCCTGCCTCAGCCTCCCGAGAGGCTGGGACTACAGGCGCATGCCACCACGCCTGGCAATTTTTTTGTATTTCTAGTAGAGACGGGATTTCACCGTGTTAGCCAGGATGGTCTTGATCTCCTAACCTTGTGATCCACCCATCTTGGCCTCCCAAAGTGCTGGGATTACAGGCGTGAGCCACCGTGCCTGGCCCAGAATCTATTTCATACTGTGGCAAAGCAGGCAAAAAGACTGAAAGACCCTGACCTATAGAGTAGTAGAGAAAAAGGGGCTACACTCCAGCTAAAAGGTAGAGCCAAGAAAAAAGTAAAAAGGGAGTTGCCAGTGAGGAACAATATTTAAAGTGTGAAGTCACAGAAATCAAGAGAAGAATTTTCAAAGAAATTATTTTTTTAAAAAGCACAGAGATTATCAGTTACCTTGATAAGACCAGTCAGCAGAGAAATGGGGACTGAAGAAAGACATGAGGGGAGGAAAAGTAGCCAGCAACTTTTAAAAAGTCACATTCAGAGTTATTTTGGTGCTTCCTACTAGAAGGTATTTTTGTGGAATTTCAACTCTGAAAAGTTCTCTGGTTGTGTTTACCAACTGATAAGATTTAGACATAGAAGGAATCAACCAAATTCCATCTTGGAATTGTCTCTGTAATATAGCTCTATTAGTAAAACATTTTCATTTTTATTGCTAATAGTGAACACAACAAAATTCTCTACATTTAAAGATTACACTAATTCAAGATGAAGTATATAATCCAAGACAAAAAGAGTAGCAAAAAAGATCTAGTAATTTCCATTTTACTTCAGGTCATAGTAAAATTAGAAAAGACTGAAAAAAATCTACCTCTGTGATAAACAATGAAAAGCTGTTCTCCATGTCCTGCCATTGACACCACAGGCCCAGCAAGGCTGAATATCTCTTTTTGAACCCCTCCAATAGTAAACAATCGAAGAAGCAGGGCACTAGTAGCAGCAGCAGTCCATCCCTGACCGACACATATGGCTTCAATATCCTCATTCTGAGGCATGTCTATCATCCACTCTTTGCTCGAATCCCAAGAACTAAAGTGCAGGCAGTGAAGCTTGCTAAAAATTAAAGCAACATAGAAACAATCAAACATTATATAATATTTATACACACACACACACACACACACACACACACACACACACACACATAAGTTATCATGATATTCAACAAAAAACCAAATAGTTTACTTTCTATTATACACTAGTATAAGAAATTGCTTTAAAAAAGTAATTATGGGCATGGTGGCTCATGCCTGTATTCCAACACTTTGGGAGGCTGAGGCAGGCAGATCACCTGAGGTCAGGGGTTCGAGACTAGCCTGATCAACATGGAGAAACCCCGTCTCTACTAAAAATACAAAATTGGTTGGGCATAGTGGCACATGCCTGTAATCTCAACTACTCGGGAAGCTGAGGCAGGAGAATCGCTTCAACTCAGGAGGTGGATGTTGTGGTGAGCTCAGATCACACCATTGCGCTCCAGCGTGGGCAACAAGAGTGAAACTCTATCTCAAAAAAAAAAAAAAGTAATTATGAAATACCCTTAAAATGAACTATACTAAAACCATTAATAGTCATATTTTGCAGGATATTTAAATATACAGGAAAAAGCTCACAATATAATGTTAAGTTAAAAAAACGTAAAATCTATCAAGTGTGATTTTGTATTATAAATGTATATAAAAACACAAGTTTTAAAAGAGGAAAAAGCATCAAAATGTTAAGCAACAGTTCTCTCACTACAAAAATAAAGTGGATATGGAAGACTAAAACAAGAAAAAGGAAAAAAATATACCACCAATGAGATTACTAACCACTGCTTGATATCTTTCTAGTCTTTTTTTGCACATACATATATATATATAAGTTATTATTATTAAATACAAATTTTTTTTTTTTTGAGATGGAGTTTCGCTCTGTCACCCAGGCTGGAGTGCAGTGGCATGATCTCTGCTCACTGCAACCTCCACCTCCCAGGTTCAAGCAATTCTCCTGTCTCTTGCTTTAGCCACCTGAGTAGCTGGGACTCAAGGTGGGTGCTATATTTTTAGTAGAGTCAGAGTTTTGCCATGTTGGTCAGGCTGGGTCTCAAATTCCTGACCTCAGGTGACCCTCTGGCCTCAGCCTCCCAATGTGCTGGGATTACAGGCATAAGCCACCACACGCAGCCCAAAGGATACAAATTTCAAGTCACATAGAAGATAGTAAAATTCATGAAGTTTATCAGTACTATGACCAGCTGAAGAAGAGATCAACAGAGGACAACCTTGTGATTTACAAAAAGCTAAAAAAATTTTCTTTTCTTAAAAAAAAAAAAACATTCTGCAATAACAAAAACCTGAAAAAATATTTTCTTTTAAAAAACAAACATTTGCCACCCATTGCTTTTCCATCATAATTTTTTTGTCAACATCTGTCTACCTATTTATTTACCTACTAATCAAAACATGTAAAATCCAAAAGAACATTAAGTAGAAAAAGCAAATTGGTGACTAGTACATTTTTTGGTTTGTTTTTCCAATTTTTTTCCCGCATTTTCAAAAAGTTTTTTTTTTTTTTTTTTTTTTTTTTGAGACAGAGTTTCACTGTCACCAAGCTGGAGTACAGTGGCACGATTTCAGCTCGCTGCAACCTCCACCTCCCAAGTTCAAGCGATTCTCCTGCCTCAGCCACCCATGTAGCTGGGACTACAGGCACATGCTACCATGTCCAGATAATTTTTGTATTTTTAATAGAGATAGGACTTTACCATGTTGGCCAGGATGGTCTCAATCTCTTGACCTCATGATTGGCCTGCCTTGGCCTCCCAAAGTGCTGGGATTATACATGTGAGCCACCACACCTGGCCTCAAAGAGAGATTTTAAATCTAATCCATAGTGACAAAAATTTACACTTAGTTGACCAAAGCTAGGGTTGAATTAACTGCAAAGGGGTATAAGAAAACATTTTCAGATGATAAAGAACATTCTTTCTTTTTTTTTTTTTTGAGACGGAGTTTCGCTCTTGTTACCCAGGCTGGAGTGCAATGGCGCGATCTCGGCTCACCGCAACCTCCGCCTCCTGGGTTCAGGCAATTCCCCTGCCTCAGCCTCCTGAGTAGCTAGGATTACAGGCACGCGCCACCATGCCCAGCTGATTTTTTATATTTTTAGTAGAGACGGGGTTTCACCATGTTGACCAGGATGGTCTCGATCTCTTGACCTCGTGATCCACCCGCCTCGGCCTCCCAAAGTGCTGGGATTACAGGCTTGAGCCACCGCGCCCGGCGTGATAAAGAACATTCTATATTTTGATTGTGGTAGTAGTTATCTGTGTATATTGTATATCTTTGTCAATTCATAAATCCGGTACATTTTATTGTAAATAAATTACATCTCAATAAAATAAATTAGGCTTGATGTGGTGGCTCATGCCTGTAATCCCAGTACTTTGGGAGGTCGAGGCAGATCGATCACCTGAGGTCAGGAGTTCGAGACCAGCCTGACCAACATGGTAAAATCCCGTCTTTACCAAAAATACAAAAATTAGCCAGGTGTGGTGGCACATGCCTGTAATCCCAGCTACTTAGGTGGCTGAGGCAAGAGAATCGCTTGAACCCAGGAGGCGGAGGTTGCAGTGAGCCAAGATAATGCCATTGCACTCCAGCCTGGGTGACAGAGCAAGACTCCGTCTCAAAAAAATAAATAAAATAAAAATAAATGAAGTAAATTAAAATAAGGGAGGTTCTCATAGAAATAAATCTGGAAGGATATATATCAAATTGTTAATAGTTATATGTGAGAGTAGAATTCTGGGAGGAGTTTTCATTTTCTGAAACTTCTATATTGTATACTTTTTTTTTTTCTTTATAGTGAACATACATTACTCTTATAATAGTAATAAAAAACACTTAATAATGTAAAAAAAAAAACCCATCTCTCTTGCATTATTAATCATGTCATGTCATTTTGCTACATAGTTAGAGCATGTAATGAGGGAACCATTAGGGCAAAAACAGACATATGTTCTGAGATATTTTGGATGTGCTGGTGTTTGTACCAAACTCTCCTTTCTGAAATTTCAGACTACAAAAAATAAATTTTGTTTTGTTAACTTTTTGTCTTTAATTTCAACAACTGTATCCAACAGTTTAACCATACCAAATTCTTCCAAATAATCTTGAGTTTACCTTGCTAGCTCATCAGTGCTTTCACATGCCAACAAAATAGCTTCGTGGGAAAGATCTGCTATTGTATAATTCAAAGTGTTTGATAAGTGTGTTGCATGGTGTATGGAGGTATCATGGAACTCCACATCTATGGCATTGTCTTGCTCATCATTATAGCAGCGAATAATTCCAATAGAGTTCCACACCTACAAAACAGGTAAGATTAAATATAAGTCTGAGAAAGACCAACATTCCTAGAATCAGAAGGCCACAGTAGTACAAATTAACACATATTATAATTCAATCTGTAGTAGGATTTAAGTTTTGGGAGCTACCACATCTCAACTATCTCTAAAGAGTTTCTGACAGAAGTTGTAAAACCAGAGATACAATTACTTATTATTTTCTTTATGAGAAGATACATATATACTTATTAATTAGCAAATGAAGTTCTAATAATAAAAATAAATTACATGACTGTTACTTTAAAATTATATTACAGTTGGCCTTTGAACAACCAAACAATTAAATTTCTCAAAAGAAACATTTCAAAAATTGAGTTTTCTTACAAATATGAATGCAAATAACAACAGACTTTTTTCCTGTTCTAAGTAGTTATTTTATGATAGAATAAATATATACATTTTGGCCAGGTGTGGTGGCTCACACCTGTAATCCCCACACTTTGGGAGGCCGGGGTGGGCACATCACGAGGTCAAGAGATCGAGACCATCCTGGCCAACATGGTGAAACCCTATCTCTACTAAAAATAGAAAAATTAGCCTGGTCTGATGGTGAGCAACTGTAGTCCCAGCTACTTGGGAGGCTGAGGCAGAAGAACTGCTTGAACACGGAAGGACTGAGGCTGTGGTGAGCTGAGACCATGCCATTACATTCCAGCCTGGGGACAGAGCAAGACTCTGTCTCAAATAAAATAAAATACACACACACACACACACACACACACACACACACACACACACACACACACTTTAAGGAAACACAAATTTTTTTTTTTGGAGATAGAGTCTCGCTCTGTCACCCAGGCTGGAGTGCAGTGGCATGATCTTGGTTCACTGTAACCTCTGCCTCCTGGGCTCAAGCAATTCTCCTGCCTCAGCCTCCTGTGTAGCTGGGGTTACAGGTATTTGCCACCATGCCCAGCTAACTTTTTTATTTTTTTTTTAGTACAGATGTGGTGTTTTACCATGTTGGCCAGGCTAGTCTCCAACTCCTGACCTCAAATGATCCTCCCACCTCGGCCTCCCAAAGTGCTGGGATTATAAGTGTGAGCCACTGAGCCTGGCCTAGTCAATATAAATTTGTATCACTTGGAAAATTTATCTTCCAGTGATGTCCATGATAGGCTCACACTAGGCCCTAAAGTTTCTAATAAAATTAGTGCCAATATTTTATTTAGAGTAACTATAAATAAAATATTGACACATAAAAAATTAAGATCTATAACTTTATGACTATTGATGGAAATAAAAACTTTTATTATTATTAATCATCACCCTTAAACTTTACATAAAAATTTATGCCAGGCCTATACTTAAGTTCTGGGATCATGTACAGAATATGCAGGTTTGTTACATAGGTATACATGTGCCATGGTGATCTGCTGCACCCATCAATCCATCAACCTACATTAGGTATTTCTAATGCTATCCCTCCTCTAGCCCCCCACCTCCTCACAGGCCCTGGTGTGTGATGTTCCCCTCCCTTTGTTCTCATTGTTCAACTTCCACTTATCATTGAGAACATGTAGTGTTTGGTTTTCTGTTCCTGTGTTAGTTTGCTGAGAATGATGGTTTCCAGATTCATCCATGTCCCTGCAAAGGACAGAACTCATCCACTTTTATGGCTGCATAGTATTCCATGGCATGTATGTGCCACATTTTCTTTATCCAGTTTATTATTAATAGGCATTTGGGTTGGTTCCAAGTCTTTGCTACTGTGAACAGTACTGCAATAAACATATGTGTACATGTGTCTTTATAGTAGAATGGTTTATAATCCTCTGGGTATATACCCAGTAATGGGACTGATGGGTAAAATGGTATTTCTAGTTCTAAATCCTTAAGGAATTGCCACAGTCTTCCACAATGGTTGAACTAATTTACACTCCCAACAACAGTGTAAAAGCCTTTCTATTTCTCCACATCCTCTCCAGCATCTGTTGTTTCCTGATTTTTTAATGATCGCCATTCTAACTGACATGAGATGGTATCTCACTGTGATTTTGATTTGCACTTCTCTAATGACCAATGATAATGAGCTTTTTTTTTCATGTTTGTTGGCTGCATAAATATCAGGCCTATACTTTTTAAAAGGCAAAATCTTCAGAGTAGAAAACGTCATATAACCAACATAGAAATACCAAACTTTTTAAGACCTCAAACTTAAGGCAAAAGCTAATATATTCATTTATCTATTCATGAAATATGTATTTAATGTGTACTATATCATACCTTGTTCCAAATCCTAAGAATGTATCAGTAAACAAATAAAAAATCTTTATTCTGTGTAGCTTACATTCCAATGGGTGCTGGGGTGAGGAAAAGGGGAAGATTTTTTTCCTCCATAGTACTTTCCACCTTCTAATATATTATACTAGTAGTTGCCTTCTAAGAAAACACCTCCTTATTAGTGTTTTGGAATCAGTATAATCTTCTAATTAAAAATGAATATAAAAAATAAGGTTTGAAACTGTTGCCAAGAAGTACTGCAAGATAATAATATGTACTTATGTTCATTTAATGTCATTTTGCAAAGAAGAATTTTATTTAATGTCATTTTCAATAAGGTTGAAATGAGATTAAAACTGTGAGTTAATGATAAAATAAACCAACCACAAAACTATAGTCAACCAGTGTGCCAAGGTACTTAATCAAAGTTTTAAAAAAATAGGTTTTATCCAACAAAATTAACTATAGTGAGAAAAAAAATGCTGAAAACCTACTTAGAAGTTAAGTGTAGATCCAAAGCTTACCATGAATCTGTGAGTGAGATGCAAGGGTGTAGAACCTGACTGAAATGGCTTTTGCTGGGGAGTTGGCATGGGTCCATCATAAAATGGCCTTTGGGATGTTACAAGTGGTAGATTGTGAATGCCTCCTTCCTGATCATCTTCCTCCTCCTCTTTGAGAAGATTAGAACCAGTTTTTAGCATTGAAATATCTACAACACAAAAGATTATAATTAAGGGAATCACAAATACAAACGATTTGGAAAAAGGAAAGCATTACGGAATCTAGTAACTTTTTCATTCATATTCAATGACACTGACATGCTATTTGCCTCTTTCACTATGTTAAAGAGATGCAGTGATGGAGCAAAAGCAATGGTGGGTAAAACTCCTGGTGCCTTGGCACAAATCAAGGCAGTGGCACCAGACTGTATTAGTACTTGATGCATTGTTAACCACTACTCACTTGTAGTAAAAATATTAATTTTATTAAATCTTGACACTCACACAGATTTTTTCTAAAACGTTCTGTATGCTAAAATGAGAAGTGATGGTTGTCTTGAAAAAAAGCACTTAGACAATTGTTTGAGTTGTAAGCTGAACTAACTGATTTTTTTTCACAGAACACTCCTTTTACATAAAAAACAAATGCCAGATAAACTATGGTTAGGCAGAATTGGATCTTTGGCAAACATTTTCTTGGAAATGAATGAAGTAAGCCTGTCAATTAAGAAAAATAACTGGCAGAATTTGTTGCCAATGATAAAATTTGAGCTTTCAAGTGAAAATTAAGATATTGGAAAGCTTCTATTTGCCATTATGAGCTTCAAAACTTTCTAATATTTAGAAACTGCTGATAAGATTAGTATCAATACTAGTAGACATAATTTATGGCCAGGTCCTGTGACTCACGCTTGTAATTCCAGCACTTTGGGAGGCCGGGGAGGGAAGATTGCTTGAGGCCAGGAGTTCAAGACCAGCCTGGGCAACAAAGCAAGATTGCATCTCTATAAAAAATAAAAAATTAGATGGGCATGGTGGCATGCATCTGTAGTCCTAGCTACTAGGAAGGCCAAGTGGGAGAGCTGCTTGAACCCAGGAGTTCAAAGTTACAGTGAGGTATGATCATACCAATGCACTCCAGCCTAGATGACAGAGAAGGACGCTGTCTCTAAAAACAAACAAAAATTAATAAATTAAAAACAACAAAAGCCAATATAATTTATATTAAACAATAAAAAGTGCCAATATAAGGAAGATCCATAAACTTCAGTGAACCAATATTATCAATTCATATGTTACAAGACTAAACATGATTTTTAAAAATCCATTCAATGTTCAAGTCAGACCACTGAATTTTTTGGTTCTGTTTTGTTTTTTTCTGAAACAGGGTCTGGCTCTGTTGCCCCACATGGAATGCACTGTTGTAATCATGGCTCACTGCAGCCTCAATCTCTCAGGCTCAAGAGATCCTCCCACCTCAGCCTCCCAAGTAGGTGGGACTGCAGGCACATACCACCACACCTAGGTAATTTTAAATTTTTTTGCAGAGAGGAAGCCTCACTATGTTGCCCTGGCTGGTCTTGAACTCCTGGCCTCAAGCAATCCTCCTGCCTGGGCCTCACAAAGTGCTGACATTACAGGTGTGAGCCACCATTCCCAGCCAAACCAACGAATTTTTAACATAATAGAGTCGTAAGAGTTCATTGAAGTTTTCAGATTACACTTTGCAAGTAATCTTTAGGAAATGATCACCTTCTGAGTCTTGGTGCAACATGAAAGAATATCCACAATTAACAGAATGTGCTACTAAAAGATTTCTTAAAATACTTCTCCCTTTTCAAATTACATATTTATGTGAGGCCAAATTTTCTTCATATACTTCAAACAAAAACAGGCCAGGCATGGTGGCTCACATCTATAATTCCAACACTTTGGGAGGCCGAGGTGGGTGGATCACGAGGTCAAGAGATCGAGACCATCCTGGTCAACATGGTGAAGTCCCGTCTCTATGAAAAATACAAAAACTAGCTGGGTATGGTGGCGCACGCCTGTAGTCCCAGCTACTCGGGAGGCTGAGGCAGGAGAATTGCTTTAACCCAGGAGGTGGAGGTTGTGGTGAGCCGACATCACACCACTGCACTCCAGCCTGGGTAACAAGAGCGAAACTCCATCTCAAAAAAACAAAAAACAAAAAACAAAAACAAAAACAACATATGGCAATAGACTTAATCCAGAAGTAGATAAGAGAATCCAGCTGTCCTGTATGACAGACATTACAAAGATTGCAATGCCACTCTTTTATTTTTTGTTTTTAATAAAAAATTATTATTCATGTTTACATGTTTATTTTTATTAATTTTTAATTTAATTATTTTTAGATTTCTGAATTTTAATTTCTAATACATAAATGACAACAGACCTAACTCTGTATAAATAAATGCTCTCTGAAGGGTCCTCAAAATTTTTTAGAGTATAAACCCTACTGAGACCAAAACATTTGAGGACTGCTGTTCCATAACCTCTTTAAGACTTTAAGGCCGGGTGCGGTGGCTCAAGCCTGTAATCCCAGCACTTTGGGAGGCCGAGGCGGGTGGATCGCAAGGTCAAGAGATCGAGACCATCCTGGTCAACATGGTGAAACCCCGTCTCTACTAAA